TAGCCAAGCTGTTTACATGCTATAGTTGCACTAGCCAATGACCATCCTCTACGGCATATTGTTCCCCAGACACCATTGTAATAAATCTGTAAAATACCTTTCTCTGATGACTGTGAGGATGTCTTATGCAGTAACCTCAATGGTGCTGGTCCTAAAAGGGAAATAATGTTCGTGTTATTGTCATCAGGACTCTTCAATTACAGATATGACGGCGATTTGATTTATAAAATGTTGATGACGATTGTGGTTATAAGTTTGTGTGTTGTCATAAACGTCATATATATCTTTGCCCTTCTTGTAACACCGTGTGAACAGTGTCCTTTCAAAAGAAACGATAGAAGGACRTTTTGCTCACGCGGTCAACGGTCAGCGGTACTTATAGGAGGATAGCAGGATTTTGACTACAGTTTTGCTTTGTTTGTAATTTCAAGAGTAAAAACTAACGCAAAAATTAAACATGATTTTCAAGAGAAAATCGAATAATTATTCAACAGCAAAGTTAAATGTCTGATTATAACTAAGTTGATAAARTTAGTAAAACATCTTCGCCTTGAAGGAGTCCAGTTGGGTGTTCAGGTAAGGCTTTATCTTTCGGATATACAGAAACTTTTGAACCATCTAATTCATTTTGCTTAACTCATTGTCGACTGATGTCGATTTGTTGATTTTTGAGCTTTTTCGACCCTAACATCTTGATAAAATAATTGACTTYCATATAAGGTGCTGTCAATAAAACTATTTTGGATTTGAATTCCCTAGGGAGCATTAATTTATGCAGGGCTTTGTAAATTTAGGTCAGACCGTTTGTTYWTCGAMTGGTTGAGCCTAAATTTACCTAAAAACCCGTTTATAAGTGTTTTTTTGAGCTTTTTGCTGCCACAGGAGCCCCTAGGCTTGCATCATTAAGCTTGACTAGTCGGCAGAGACAATCTTCTGGAAGAAATCGAAGACAATGGCTCCAAGTCACGGTTTGTTTTGAACTGGAGACATCATTGTAAGATCGCTTTCCTGGTCCATCTGTGGCAGATTTTCCAACCTACCAAGGTAATTTTGGCAATATTTGACAACCAAAGAATGCAATTGGCCCGATATTTTGCCTGTAGGTGTGGGGAAGCTCACACTTAAAAAATTCTTAAAAGAAGAATGCTGCACGATTTATGTCCAAATTTTCCGTCTTCCCATGATGCATTTCGATCGTGCATAGAAGTTTGTTATACCTGGTCTTCAAAAGAGGGCTGTTTAAAAATCTGCAGTGCATTTGACAAAATAAAAACATCGAAATGAGGACGTTCTATCAAAGGGGTTTGCAAACCAAGTGGACTTTTTGCTAGGAGAACATATTTTGACGCTACAAATTGAGATGAAAATCAGTGTACTCTGCCGTCCTTCAAACTCAGATTTTGGCATTCATTTCAAAGCAGAGTCATGTTTTGTGTCTTTTGTTTCCTCGTTGCGAAATTCTTTTAACTGTAAGATCGACAGTATCTACTAGTAAGTTCGTACGAGCAATTTCAGGGCTCTAGCTTACTATTTCGGCAACTTATAGACTTTTGAC